ATACACATCATTCCTACTTATAACAATATATAAGCTAGCATTGATAACACATGATATCAGAGCTAGTTAACACATGTTATCAGAGCATGCTAACACATGGTATACGAATCATTTATACTTGTAACAATAGTTATGCTAACATTGATAATCTGATGTTGAAAATAATGACACTCTTTGGGTACTTAGCACTCTGTGGGTCCCATATGAACAAATATTTATATATATCTCCTAAGACAAAAGTGATCAAATATGACAGTAAAACCAGCAAATGAAAAGAATGAAAAATTTATCACACAAATAGAAGCATATATTAATGAGAAGAATGAATGGTCAGTCGGGGTGTACTTACACAATACAAAAGCCTTCGATATTATTCCCAAACTGAAATTTCTTGCCGTAAAGGATGTTTGAGGAAGATCCAACACCATTTCTAGATTTTTGAATGAGATGTTCAATTACAAAATCGATTTGAAAAACATACATCAACAAATCTACGCGGTCAGAACAGGTGACCACGCAAAATTTCCCACCCCCATATCATCTAGTCGCTACAGTCAGTTTCGAACTCATTTCTACCACTTTCAGGATAAGAAAGTTCATTGAGACGCTTATAAGATACGGACTCAAGGTCACCGTCGGCACAAATTATAACATGATATGAATAAAGTTTAGTACCGCAAAAGCAACCAGAATCCGAGTTTGGTCAGAAAACTCAGTGGAAAGCCCTATATCGCCATTGTGACGGAAGGGAAGGTTAATCTGTTTATTTTTAAATCGGTCAAGCAATGCCATCCTCTCATTCCATTGAGGTTCTGATGTTAAAAGTAAAGGCTAGGACAGGGTACTTGATATTCGTTGACTCCATAATCAACAAATATATATATTCTCTAAGAAAAAAGTGGCCAAATAGAAGAGTAGGAAGAAAGACATGATCAGTTGAGAGAGGAGGGGTGAAAGGGTTTCAAAACAATCGCAATAGATGATCCTTGTTGATCATAGCTTCAAACATCCTACAATTCATTGAGAGAAAGTAAACCTGATTCTCAGCTCGAATAATACAGGGTTCTACTATAGGTTCAAAATTCCGGTGGAGACAATCAAGATTTGTAACGTTATCAAAAGTATACATTCGGAAGCTACATTCAAACGTATAGCCTCCAACCAAATATACAGTATTGTCATGGTTAACAGGACCGAACAGATGGGAAGTTCAGAGAATACAGGCTCAAACTTGAATCGTGAGCTCCATTACAACAGAAGTAAGCATATTTGGAATCTAACATTTCTAGCATAATTGATGTAAAACTGGAAAAAGAACAAAAGAAATTGAAGATTACCGAAATTGCGATGATCAAAAAATACAAACAAACAAAAAAATCAATGACTTCTTTCCATGAATACTCTGTTGTTTTCCAATTTTCTAGTTTGATTTATTACAAAACCCAACCAAAAAAAAAAAACAAAAAAACAAAAAAAAAAAAAAAAAACAAAAAACAAAAAAGACTCAAATTTTTTGCAATGCCACTCCACACATGAATGGTACCAATGAAAAAAAAGTACATTATGACATCAAACACAATAAAAACTATGTAAAATAGACTACTTATTAAAAAAAATTAAACGACAAAACACCGAATCATTAGGTAATCAATCATATTTGTTGGAAAGAAAAATTTTTATAAATTAACTCGTTTCTGCAGGCTCAACCAAAACACAAGAAAAGTATGCACATTCACTAACAGTTCAATCTAAATATTAATTCAATTTGATAAACCTGAATTTTTCATGACTCCTGCTAAAATTTTGATAAACTACATTAATTATTTTAAAAGATATTAACTATAACTTCCCAATCAAGAAGCTTATAAACCACTAAGTAATTGCACACTGTATATATGAACTTAATTTTTAAAATGGTCCTGGAATCTCAAAGTGAATTACCTAAAATCATGGTTGAAAAAATTGCTAGGCGCCCATCTGGCGCTTGGGGAGCACCTATCGCCTAGGCGGGGATTAATCAGCGCCTAGGCGCCTGTGTATTTTTTATTTAAAAAAATTTGTTTAAATATTTTTAATTTTTTAAAATTTGATAATTATAAATTATTCAGTACTTTAATAGTTAATACTAAAATATTAAATATTAACCTAAAAAACATCTAGAGTTTGAACAATTTAGGATTATTTCACTCAAAAACGATGTCGTTTTGAGTGAAATAACTCACTTAAAAAAGAATGGAACAATAGTTAATTGATCGACTAGGCAACCTAGTCGGTGCCTAGGACTAGGAGATCACAAATTCATGGTTCAATAAAAGAGTAGATCACAAATGATGAAAATGTTCATAAACCCAATTGGTTACAAAAACTAAACTTCTGATTTCAACATGGCTTCCCTTGACAGGTCATTTACAACTAAAGCAGAATTCAAAAAACGGTCGGTCAGGAATTTGCTCAAAGTCCAACATGTAAAAATCAACTTTTTCAGATTTAAGAGATAACAATTTTGATAAGATCACTACCTGGCGGTGGTATCAGAGCTTGATAATACATGGTATCAAAGCATACTAACACAGGGTATACACAACATTCCTACTTATGACAATATCTAAGCTAACATTGATAACACATGATATCAGAGCTAGTTAACACATGGTATCAGAGCAGGCTAACACATGGTATACAAATCATTCATACTTGTAACAATACTTAAGCTAACATTGATAATCTGATGTTGAAAATAATGAAACTCTTTGGGTACTTAGCACTCTGTGGGTCCATATGAACAAATATATATATCTGCTAAGACAAAAGTGACCAAATATGACAGTAAAACCAAACTTATTAAAAGAATAATTTTGGTCATATGCACGGTTTCATCCTCACTCCTCTCCCTTTTACTTGTGTTCTCCACCATGTTGTGATTTTCAGTTGCTAGAGGGGCAGAGCTGGAAATAAATAGATAAACAGTATGCAAAGAAAAAGGATGATCGACGTTTAACTTAAGAATATATGAACGGGAAGAATGAATGTGCCGGACAAGGTGTACTTACGCAATACAAAAACATTCAATATTATCCCCAAGCTGCAATTTCTTGTAGTAAAGGATGCTTGAGGAGGCTCCAACACCACTTGTTGAGTTTTGGATATGATTTCAAGTTTAAAATCAATTTGTAAGACATACAATAAAAGATTTACAGTGTAAGAACCAGTCACTACTCAAAAATTTCCACCTCCCAAATCCGCCGATAAGTTCTATAGTCATCCCTTATAAAGTTATCCTGCCTTCAGGATAACAACTTTTCTTTAGAACCCTGTAAGATATGGGCTCGAGATCACCGTCCTAGATTTTAACATTAAATGCACAAAGATCATTACCATTAAAGGCAACCAGAATCTGAGTTTCAACCAAAAACTCATCTAAAAGCCCTATGTCACCCTTGTGACCAAAGGGAAGAGGAATTTGTTTCTTATCAAATCGATCCAGCAAATACATCTTGTCTTCCCATTTTGAGGATATGATGTTGAAACTAAAGATACACCCACAGTACTGATGAACATCTTTTATACCTTGATTTAAATAAGTTTTTATAGGTTAATTTTATTATTTATATTTTATATTTTATTATTATTAGTATATTTTGTTATATTAGAATTAGATAAGTTAATTAATAAAATTTAAGTATAATTAGGCTTATTAATTAGTAACATAATTAAATAAGTTAGTGGGTCCCACTTGCTATTATCCCTAATCATACTTTAATTTGTTTTCTTTATCTTTATTTTATTTGTTTTGCCGTAGGTAGTAATAAGTATTTTAGTTTATTTTATTTATTTCATTTGTTTTGTTTACAAACACAAGCAGCGAATCCAAGGCCATAATAGTTTCAGAGCAACGAAAGAGAAGGCGAGGTCGAAGGCGCAACGTAGAGCTTCGGTCAGCAACGCTTCGAGCGGTTCGTTCGCTAAAGATTTCTGGAGGAAATTAAACAAAACTTTTTGAAGATGAATTTGATAGAGAAAGATGCGGTAAGAGCAGTAATTTTAGGGAATATTGTTGATTTGAAACCCTATAAAAGGAGAGCTATTCTGATGTTTTTTGGGCAGATTGTTCCTTTTAAATTCTTAATATTTTAGAATAGTTTTCTCTATGTCTAGCTAGATTCTCTTTAATCTGATTCAAGGGATTTGAAGTTTCAGTTGTGAATTTAGGGAGGTTCTATTTCAATTAATTTATTGGATTCATGTACTTCCTGCTCTTTCAGAGTTAATTTTACAGGAAGACTGATAGTAAATTAAATTGACAACTTACTTTATTGTTGTTTTCCTATTGCTATCTTTTGAGTTTATGATCCGTAATTGTCATAAACGATTTGACCGAGTAGCTTGTATTAATTATATTGCTGTGATTAGTACACAAAGGACAGGAAGACTAAGTTGCAGGTTGTAGCTATCTCAATATGTGATTTAGGCTTAGTTATTCTCCATTAAAGTGTAATGATGTTATTGGGTGAATATGGAACGCTATCGTCCCGAGTTTATTCAATAACAGATGTTGGTTTGAACGCTTGGTTTGAATCAATTAATTCAGGGAGATCAAATGCTAGTTATGGCTATCCTAATTAGTCTTTGGCTAAGTACTTGAATCTGAACTTTACTTGTAAGAGCCGATGATCTAAGTCACATCTTTAACGTTCATTCTTCCTTGAATCAGAATTCAAAATCTCTGAACTCGTTATTAATTATTGTCTATTTTATTTATTCTTCTCAAATCCCCCAATTTTCCCTACTTTGAGTCATTTTATTTAAATTAAAGAAACGAACTCATTAGTTCTCTTGGGATTCGACCTGGTCTTGCCACTACTACAAATTAGTGGGTTGAGCCGGTATTGAATTTGTAGGGCTTCAACAACCCTGCCAAATTTTGGCACCGTTGTCGGGGAACTAACATCGTTTCTTGAATTTTTTTTCTTTGTGATTGTTTCTATTGTCCTTAGTGTTGCATGACTCGTTCCTCTCATTCGGGAGAATTACAATATATCCCTGAGATTGAGAAAGTCGCAAGGCAACTAAGGAAAGAAACAAAGCAAAGAAATAGCTCATCGAGTTCTGAAGAGGTAAATTCAACCTGTGATCCAGTAAACGAGGAGGTTGTAAGTAAAATGGCTGAACCAAATAATAGAACACTTAGGGAGTTAGCTGCACCGAATCTAAACCAACAACCTCTATGCATAACAATACCAAATCTTGAGGTTGATTTTGCTTTAAAATCTGGTTTGATTCATTTACTCCCTATTTTTCGAGGTTTGGCTGGTGAAGACCCACATAAACACTTGAAAGAGTTTCAAGTAGTTTGTGCAGGTATGAAACCACGTGGGGTGACTGATGAGCATATAAGCCTTAGAGCATTTCCATTTTCATTAAAAGATAAAGCAAAAGATTGGCTCTATAATCTTCCCCCCGATTCAGTTAACACGTGGAATGATGTGAAAAAACTATTTCTAGAAAAATTCTTCCCTGCATCTAGGGCAACTAATATTAGGAAGGAAATATATGGGATAAGACAATGTACATGTGAAACATTGTACGAGTATTGGGAAAGATTCAAGGAGTTGTGTTCTAGCTGTCCACACCATCAAATCTCATACCAACACTTGATATAATACTTTTATGAAGGGCTGTTACCTACAGATAGAAGTATGGTAGATGCAGCTAGTGGTGGTTCTTTGGCTGACAAGACACACACGGATGCTAGACAATTAATATCAACCATGGCAGAAAATTCTCAACAATATGGGACACGTGCGGATGGATCTATTCGTAGAGTTAACGAGGTAAGTACTTCTCAACTTAAAAATAAAATTTCAGATTTGACTACTCTTGTGCGTCAAATGGTTGTAGGACAAATGCAATCTACGGGAGCATGTGGAATATGTTCATTTGTCGGGCATCCCACAGACATGTGCCCAACATTGCAAAATTCAAATCAAGAGTTGAATGCAATAGGGGGATTTCCTGGTCAACCCAACCGAAAATATGATCCCTTTTCAAACCAGTATAATCCCGGATGGAGAGATCATCCAAAGTTGAGCTATGGGAATCAAGGAGCGCAACCAAGGTTTCAAAATCAGAATTTTAGACAATTCCAAACACCTCAGCAATCTCAACCTCAAGCTTCAAATTCAGGTATGTCTTTAGATGAAATTGTTAAAGCACTTGCTAATAACACTCAACAGTTTCAACGAGAAACAAGAGCAAGTATTCAACAATTGGGCAATCAAATTTCTCAATTAGCCACATCTGTTAGCAAGTTGGAAGCCCAAGCTTCGGGGAAACTACCATCACAAACGGAGGTAAACCCTAAAGAAAATGTAAATGCAATCACATTGAGGAGTGGTAAGCAACTTCAGCCCGAATCTCCATTATCAGTGGAAGAGGAAAAAGAAGGAAAATCAAAGGAGGAAAGTGAGTCTACGGCTAATGAAAAATCCAAGGTAAGTTCTGAATCTTCTTTTGGTCAATATGATTCATCTCTACCCCCTTTTCTTTCAAGGTTAGCAAAATCAAAAGAAGAAGAACATGAAAATCAGATTTTGGAAACCTTTAGAAAGGTAGAAATCAACATCCCCTTACTAGAAGCCATAAAGCAAATTCCTAAGTATGCAAAGTTTCTAAAGGAACTTTGTACCAATAAGAGGAAGTTGAAGAGTAAGGAGACCATCATATTGGGTAAAAATGTTTCAGCCATGATAAGTAATGATCTACCTAAAAAGTGCAAGGATCCAGGTATGTTCACCCTACCCTGTATAATTGGTAATAAAGAGATTAAACGTGCCATGTTAGATTTAGGTGCATCAATAAATGTCATGCCATTTTTCATTTATCAAGCTTTAAATATAAATTCTTTGCAAGGAACTAGAATAGTTGTTCAATTAGCCGATCGTTCTTGTGTGCATCCAGTTGGAGTCGTAGAAGATGTTTTAGTGCAAGTTAATGGACTGGTTTTTCCTGTTGATTTTTATGTTTTGAAAATGAATGATGATGCAATAGATCAATCAACTCCAATTCTGTTAGGTAGACCATTTATGAAAACCGCTAAAACAAAGGTAGATGTTGATAAGGGTATTCTTTCTGTTGAGTTTAATGGAGAAATTGCTAAATTTAATATTTCTGATGCAATGAAGTATCCTGATGATTATCATTCTCTTTATAATGTGGATGTAATTGATTCAATAGTGCAAGATGTTTTTGAAGATAGTTTTGCTGAAAATTTGTTTGATTTAGAAGCTGAATTTGATTTAGATGAGTTTGTTGATTCTTCTTGTGAAGTTTTATCAGCTGTAATATCTGGTTTAAATTCTGCAAATGCTGATTTTTCTTTAACTCATGAAAAAATATTGCCATCTGTGTTGCGGGCTCCAACTTTAGAGTTGAAAACTCTGCCTGATCACCTCAAGTATGTATACTTAGGTGAGGGAGAGAAATTACCCATCATTATCTCAAATAAGTTGTTACAGGAACAAGAAGATAAGTTGGTTTCACTGTTGAAAGAACACAAAACTGCAATGGGTTGGACTTTAGCTGATATAAAAGATATAAGTCCAGTTGTTTGTATGCATAGAATCCATTTAGAAGAAGATGCCAGACCAGTAAGGGAGCCACAGAGAATACTCAACCCAACATTGAAGGATGTGGTATTTAAAGAAATTCTTAAACTTTTGGATGCAGGTATAATTTACCCGATTTCTGATAGTGAATGGGTAAGTCCAGTGCATGTAGTTCCAAAGAAAACTGGTATAACTGTGGTAAGAAATCAGAAGAATGAATTGGTACCCATGAGAGTACAAAATGGTTGGAGAATGTGCATAGATTTTAGAAAACTGAACTTAGCTACAAGAAAGGATCATTTTCCTTTACCTTTTGTTGATCAAATGTTAGAAAGGTTAGCTGGAAAATCTTGTTTTTGCTTTGGATGGATTTTCAGGTTACTATCAGATAGCCATTGCTCAAGAAGACCAAGAAAAAACTACTTTTACTTGCCCATTTGGAACATTTGCGTTCAGGAGGATGCCGTTTGGCTTATGTAATGCCCCAGGAACATTCCAAAGATGCATGATGAGTATTTTTTCTGAATTTATTGAGAGTTGCATAGAAGTGTTTATGGATGACTTTACTGTTTATGGTGATTCCTTTGAAGTGTGTTTAAATAATTTGTCTAAAGTTTTAAAAAGATGTATTGATGCGAATTTAGTTCTGAATTATGAAAAATGTCATTTTATGGTTAGTCAATGAATTGTGTTAGGGCATGTAATTTCAGCTAAGGGGATAGAAGTTGATAAAGCTAAAGTGGATTTGATTGTGAACTTACCTTACCCTACAAATGTTAGGGAAGTTCGTTCTTTTCTTGGACATACAGGATTTTATCGCAAGTTTATTAAGGATTTCTCAAGGATTGCTGTCCCATTGTCTAAACTATTGCAGAAGGAGGTTACTTTTGAGTTCGGAAAGGAATGTCAAGAAGCTTTTGACAAGCTTAAGGCACTACTAACAAGTGCTCCTGTTATTCAACCTCTAAACTGGGAACTCCCCTTTGAGATTATGTGCGATGCCAGCAACTATGCAGTTGGAGCTGTTTTGGGCCAAAGAGTTGGGAAGCAAAGTCATGTCATATACTATGCTTCAAGAACATTGAATGCTGCACAATGCAGTTACTCCACAACTGAAAAAGAACTTTTAGCTGTTATTTTTGCTTTAGATAAATTTAGATCTTATTTGCTTGGTTCTAAAGTCATAGTTTTTTCTGACCATACGGCATTGAAGTATCTTTTGGGAAGAAAAGAATCTAAGCCCAGGCTGATAAGATGGATTCTATTACTTCAGGAGTTTGATTTGACAATTAAGGATCGAAAGGGAGCTGAGAATCCAGTAGCGGATCATCTAAGTAGATTGGTAAGAGATGAGGATATACTTCCTATTTCTGAAAATTTTTCTGATGAGCAATTGTTCCAGTTTTCAGGTATGGTTCCTTGGTATGCTGATCTTGTTAATTACTTAGTGACGGGAGTTTTACCTGGTTACATTAGTAATTCTAGGAAAGAAAAAATAAGAAGTGAAGCTAAATATTATGTTTGGGATGAACCATATCTGTGGAAGTTTTGTGCTGACCAAGTAATAAGACGATGTGTGCCTGAAAATGAACAGCAGTCAGTTTTAGCTTTTTGTCATAATTATGCATGTGGTGGTCATTTTAGTCCTAAACGAATTGCGAGAAAAGTGTTGGATAGTGATTTGTATTGGGAAAATTTGTTTAAAGATGCATACTTGTGCTGTAAAACTTGTGAAAAATGTCAGAAAACTGGTTCATTATCTCGTAGGAATGAAATGCCTCAAATTCCTATTTTGATTGTGGAGATATTTGATGTGTGGGGCATTGATTTCATGGGACCTTTTCCATCATCTTGTGGCTTTCAATATATTCTGTTAGCGGTTGATTATGTGTCAAAATGGGTGGAAGCAAAAGCCACCAAAACTGATGATTCTTCCGTAGTTGTAGGTTTTATGAAATCTAACATCTTTAACAGATTTGGAGTTCCACGTGCTGTTATAAGTGATCAAGGGAGTCATTTTTGCAATAAAGTAATTGAAGCATTGTTCAAGAAGTATGGAGTGCATCACAGAACAGCTACAACGTACCATCCCCAAACCAATGGGCAAGCTGAAGTGTCCAATAGAGAGGTAAAATCCATTTTGGAAAAGACTGTGAACACAGGTAGAAAAGATTGGAGCTTACGCTTAGATGATGCGCTATGGGCTTATCGGACAACTTACAAAACTCCGATTGGGATGTCCCCTTATCGGTTAGTTTTTGGAAAAGCTTGTCATTTGCCCGTAGAGATTACACATAAAGCCTATTGGGCCGTACAACGTTGTAATATGAAAATGAAGAAGGCTGGTGAAGAAAGAAAATTGCAGTTACAGGAGTTGGAAGAGTTGAGGTTAGATGCTTACGAAAATTCTAGAATATACAAGGAGAAAACCAAGATGTTCCATGACAACATGATTTTGAGAAAGAATTTTGAGGTAGGCCAAAAGGTTTTGTTATATAATTCTCGTTTGAAGCTTATGCCTGGTAAGTTACGTACTCGTTGGATTGGACCTTTCGTTGTTTCTAACATTTTTCCTTATGGTGCAGTAGAGATTAAAAGCATTGGTACGGGAAAACTTTTTAAGTTAATGGTCACAGGTTGAAACCATTTCATGAGGGAATGGTAGTTTTGACTTTGGAAGATGTTGATTTACCCTCTCGGAGTACTTTAATTGATAAAAACACATTTGAGGTTACGTCGAGCATAACGACGTTAAACAAATGCGCTCTTGGGAGGCAACCCAATTCAATAATCCATTTTTTTTCTTTTTTCTTTATTTGTTTACTTATTTTTATTTTTCAAATAAGTCTTCTTAGAATATGCTCAAATTCTTTGTGAATATGTGAAGTTTTTATGTGTGCATACATTGAGGTCAATGCATGAATTAAGTGTGGGGGAGAGTGTTGCACACTGATGATGGGTAAACAATGGTAGTATATGACTTGATGACTTGTTTTGATTACTTTCTTGTTATTTAGGGATATGTCTTAAGTTAGGGTATATTTTTTGTTTAGAGTTTTAACACATGAGAGAAGCAAGCATGATTTTATTTTTATTTTATACAAAAAAATTATATTTTAAAAATTCTTGTTAGTTTTATTGAATGAAAATGAGCAAGACTTGATGCAATTTGACCCTTTTTGGTGAGCTTTTGAGCCTAAAGAGCAACACTTTGCTCAATTTTCTTTGTTGTGTGATATCAAGCATGGCTTGTTTATGCTAGAACTTGCTCTTAAATGCATTTTAAGACCACATTCAAGCAGGTTAGAACATGAAGATGAAAAGGGCACTTAGGTTGAGTCACTTTTAGCCAAAAAGCTTACCTTACATTTTAACTCTTAGTGAGCCACTTTGAGCTTTTAGCCTTTCTTTTCTTTTAATTACCACATTACAAGCCATTTTTCCCTTTCTTTATTAATTTCCCTCAATAAATTTTGAACCCTTGAATTGAAGGAATCATATTGGTCTATCTACACAAAGTTTTGCTTGTTATTATGGGTAATAAATTGTTTACTGTGGGTTCAGGATGCAATTGGAAACTGAAATTATAGCTCTTGTTATTGGGAGTTGAATTAATTTATCCAAGTGATGATTCTTTTTATGTGAAGTAGTGTTCCTTCTTTGAGAAATAAAGTTGGGAAGTTTGCAAAAGGGAAAGAATGAGGAGGATTGAAAAAAGTGTTAAGGAGAAAAAGAAAAACAAAAAAAGAAGAAGAGAAAAGAAAAGTTTGAATAAAGCTGTATACTAGAGGCAGCAAAATGGTTTGAATGATGAAAGAAGTAAAAAAACATGAAAATGAATTGGGAAGGCAATGGAGGAACGAAGGTTTGTTCAGAGCTTTGAAATTTGCTTAGGGTGAAATTTTGTGTTAAAGGCTTATGTGATTCCTTCAACTTGATAAGCCTAAAAATTCCTTTTACCATATCCCTTGTCCCTAGCCAAGTTACAACCTTCAATAAAGACCCTTTGATTCATGGTTTAACTCATGTTTGTCAGTGGTGGAGATTTGATTTACTTGCAAGCTTATGGGATTACTTGCTATGTTTTGATTGGAGAGTTTGATACACTAAACCCTAAACACTATGAGTGCAATGAGTGAATTTTGAATCCTTGTGAGGGTGTTAAGTCTTGTTCATTGACTTTTGATAAAACTAGTGAGTTATTTTATTTATCTATTTATCTATTTATTTTTCAAGTGTTATCAATAAACCATGCTTGTTATCTTGAGTGTGTTTCAACTTCTAGCCTTTAAATATATAATAATTTTTGAGATATTTCTAGATGGCTTTGAAAGGAGTCGGAGAAGTTTATGTTAGAAAGATGAGAATATGCTTGAGGGCAAGCATAGTTTTAGTGTGGGGGAATTTTGATGAGCATATTTTATACCTTGATTTAAATAAGTTTTTATAGGTTAATTTTATTATTTATATTTTATATTTTATTATCATTAGTATATTTTGTTATATTAGAATTAGATAAGTTAATTAATAAAATTTAAGTATAATTAGGCTTATTAATTAGTAACATAATTAAATAAGTTAGTGGGTCCCACTTGCTATTATCCCTAATCATACTTTAATTTGTTTTCTTTATCTTTATTTTATTTGTTTTGCCGTAGGTAGTAATAAGTATTTAATTTATTTTATTTATTTCATTTGTTTTGTTTACAAACACAAGCAGCGAATCCAAGGCCATAATAGTTTCAGAGCAACGAAAGAGAAGGCGAGGTCGAAGGCGCAACGCAGAGCTTCGGTCAGCAACGCTTCGAGCGGTTCATTCGCTAAAGATTTCTGGAGGAAATTAAACAAAACTTTTTGAAGATGAATTTGATAGAGAAAGATGCGGTAAGAGCAGTAATTTTAGGGAATATTGTTGATTTGAAACCCTATAAAAGGAGAGCTATTCTGATGTTTTTTGGGCAGATTGTTCCTTTTAAATTCTTAATATTTTAGAATAGTTTTCTCTATGTCTAGCTAGATTCTCTTTAATCTGATTCAAGGGATTTGAAGTTTCAGTTGTGAATTTAGGGAGGTTCTATTTCAATTAATTTATTGGATTCATGTACTTCCGCTCTTTCAGAGTTAATTTTACAGGAAGACTGAAAGTAAATTAAATTGACAACTTACTTTATTGCTGTTTTCCTATTGCTATCTTATGAGTTTATGATCCGTAATTGTCATAAACGATTTGACCGAGTAGCTTTGTTGGGTTGGGCTTCCCTCCTATGTGGTAAATAGCTCATGTTTGGACCAAGCCAATTTGTATCCACTATATTTTTTGTTGGACCTCTTCTCATGGACCTCTAATTATTATTATTATATTTATATAATATAATAATATTTAATTAGGCATATATATATATATATATATATATATATATATATATATATGGATGAATTAGGGATTTGTGAGTGGGACGCACGGCAGCTTTGCCCAAAAAGAAGAAATACAAAATTTTGCTTCTTTATTTTCGTACAGCAGAGAGGCAGTGCGTGTGGCGAAACCTGTTTTGGTTCATCATTCACTATTCTGTTCAGCAGGCAGATAGAGGAGAAGAATCGTGAAGTTTGCCTAACTTCTTGGGTGTTTCTTCATCAAATACTTTTGAGAGGTCAGCTTGTTTGTTCCAGGCATCTTTTGGGTATTCTCGTACTATTTGTATTCTTTTCATCTTGCTTGTGGTGGTTGAATATTTTAAGTACGAGTTGGTATTCTGCTTAGGCCTGTGGAATATAATAAAAGTCTTTGGCCTAGAATTATTGCATTTGATGATTTGTGGATGTTTGGCTCGTGTGGTAGCCTGAAACTTTGTACCCAAGATTTATTATAGTGGATTATTGGTTGGTGGTGGTCCCGTGGTTTTTTCCCCGATTTGGGGTTTTCCACGTAAATCGTGTGTTCTTGTGTTTGATATTTATTTTTGGCTATTGTGTATCAACTTGTGTTTGTGCTCCTATCGGTTCTGTGATTTTTCATTGTCGCAGGAAGTGGGATTTTCCCAACAAAAGTGGTATCAGAGCCCTGGTTGTTGATTGGGTACATTTGACATGGAGACAAATATGAGTAATATGGTATGATTGAATGGTAGAAATTATCACATTTGGAAGGCCAAGATGAAGGATCTTTTGTTTGTGAAGAAATTACATCTACCTGTGTTTGCAACTGCAAAGCCAGAAAGCATGTCAGACGAAGAGTGGGACTTTGAGCACCAACAAGTTTGTGGTTATATTCGCCAATGGGTTGAAGATAATGTTATGAATCACATTATCAACGAGACACATGCCAGAAGCCTGTGGGATAAACTTGAGACCCTGTATGCTTCCAAGACAGGCAATAACAAATTGTTTTTGCTAAAACAATTGATGAATCTAAGATTCAGGGAAGGTACATTGATCAATGATCATGTCAATGATTTTCAGGGTGTTCTTGATCAGTTGTCTAGCATGGGCATCAAATTTGAGGATGAGGTACTTGGTCTCTGGTTGCTTAACACTCTACCTGATTCTTGGGAAACACTTCGGGTTTCTTTGACCAATTCTGCTCCCAACGGTGTTGTGACCATGGAGTATGTCAAGAGTGGTATCTTGAATGAAGAGTCAAGAAGAAGATCTCAAGACACCTCCACTTCTCAGTCAGATATTTTGGTTACAAATGATAGGGGGAGAAACAAACAAAGGGGTCAGAAGGGTAGAGATAAAAGCAGAAGTAAGTCAAGGTCATGGCACAAGGATGTTGAATGTTATCATTGTGGCAAGAAGGGTCACATTAAGAAAAATTGCTTCAAGTTCAAAAGGGAACAGAAGCAAGACAAGAAAGATGATCACACAGAGAACCAGGTTGCAACAGTTAGAGCAGATTTGCTTCTTGCTTGTGATGAGAATGCCGTCAACGTTGCATGCCATGAGACAACTTGGATTGTAGATTCAGGCGCATCTTACCATGTTACACCAAGGAAGGAATTCTTTACTTCATATAGTCCAGGTGATATTGGAGAGCTAAGAATGGGTGATGATGGTCAGGTGAAGGTGATTGGTACCGGTACAGTTTGTCTTGAGACCAGCAATGGCACAAAGCTGGAACTTAAAAATGTAAAGCATGCACCGGGTATCAGACTGAATCTCATTTCTACAGGAAAACTCGATGATGATGGTTTCTGTTGTTTCTTTGGTGATGGACATTGGAAAATCACTAAAGGCTCGCTGGTTATTGCACGAGGTAACAAGTCTTCTAACTTGTACTCTTTACAAAGCTCTATTTCTTGTGATTCAGTGAATGTGGCAGCAAAAGAATGTGCATCAGAATTGTGGCATAAACAACTTGGCCACATGAGTGTGAAGGGGATTGATTACCTTGCCAAGAAGAAGAAGCTTTCAGGAGTAAAGGAAGCTAGATTGGACAGATGTGTTCATTGCCTGGCAGGGAAACAGAAAAGAGTTTCTTTTATGAGCAATTCTCCTTCAAAGAAGCCGGAGCCACTTGAGTTGATACATTCTTATGTGTGTGGACCAATGAAGGTTAGATCACTTGGAGTTGCATCTTACTTTGTGACCTTCATTGATGATTATTCTAGGAAACTCTGGATTTACACTTTGAAGCACAAA